ATAGTTTTAGAAAGATGTTTTTAGGCTTGAAAACTCAACTACATTGAAATTTACAATACTTATATACATAACCAGTTCACAAGAAAATTTGAAGATATCTTAAGATGTAAAGGTTTAAGATAACTCCATAAGCAAGTACGTGAATATTCATGACCTAAAAGAATGTATTTTAGATTTATCTTAGTCCTTAACATGTTTATGCATATATCAGTATAAAATCCTAATTCATGCTAATATGACCTACTTTAAATACCTGAACTCCAATCAAAAGCTTCCAAGTGAAGAAAATGTTCAAGTAAATGAAACACAGTTGTAGGCATCCCCAAAATCACAGATAAAAGATCTTTTGTTAATTTTGAGATCTTAAATGCAATAGATTGCTTTGAAATTTTATTCAGTTGGGACAATTGATTTTGGATACGATGATGACAAAAAATTTCCAAAATATCCATTCAAATTTGAAATGTGATAAAAATAAACATATCAGTTTTCACTTATGATGGATTTTTAAAAAGTCTCTTGAACTAGAGCAAAAAGCTATCAGAACATTTAGGCAGACCTTTTATGATGAGCACAGTACATTCAGGAAAGAAGTTAACAACCCTCTTCAGATAAGAAATTGTTAAATTCTTAACAACCCCTGAAAATATAAATTCTAAGTTTGAATGCAGTTCTTTGGCTCAAAATACATATGGTTAAGTTGCTAGATTTTTTTTTTTATATCAATGCATGTAAATGATAGAAATGATAAAAAATGAACAAAATCAGTATTTAGGACTTTTAAATAACAAAAAAATAAGAATAGATTTATGTGGTACATTTTCATTTAGTAATAAGTTACTAAAAACATAACATTTTCACTTCCTCCTAACAGTTTGATAAGAAGTGTCAAATAAAAATTTCATTGGTAAGATGGTTCTAGTCTAATTGTAATGAATTTCTTGATTTGGCTGCTCAAATAAGGTTTTTGAATCAATGAGTTGAGTTAAAAGTATTAGACAATGATTTTGCACCATAAATTTTTTTCAAATGACCAGAATTATAAAATATTAAGAAACTGAGCTAATCCTAAATTCTTGGTAAAGAAAAAAAATTACTCATTTCCAGGTCAGGAAAATTGATTCAAATATTTCTTGAAACAGGAAATCATGTTGATTTAGAAAAAAATATTTCATCATTTGGGAAAATAAGATTAACCGGACATCCTGTTTTCTGCTGTCACGACACTACAATGCAGTAATTTCTTATTTTGAGAGAAGATTGGTCTCAAATTCTTCAAATTTTAACAATTCATTGTGGAAATTCCACACTTGAATGTCATTTTAAGTGATTTGACATGATTGTGTTGATGTGTGTTTAGACTGAGAATTCAAATAACTTAATTATTTCTGCAATTAGCTCAAAAGTCTTCTATTTTCCTCTTGGCTGGGGTAGCATGCCATGTTCCTTCCTTGACCTCTTTATTATAAAAGAATTGGTTGTTTTTACAATCATTCTGCAAGTATAATTGGTTTGGATATAAATTTGATTTGGAAGAGTATTTTTGTGTTTGTTTTTTGAGATTATAATGGCCAGCTACACATTTTCAAGCTTGCCCATCTGATAGGGCAGCTAGCCAATCTTTGTTGTAGAAGCCTGCTTAGGCACATTTGTGTTTGTTCAACACCTACAGAGCCCACCTGTGATTGATACTGAAACTATGCTGAGCGAACCTTAGTTACATTTTCTGGAAGAGAGCACATCATCTCACATGATCAACAAGGCCAGTACACTCAAATCCTCAGTCACGATGACTTCTGACTTTGTGTTAGCGCAACCATTGATGGCTTGAGAACACTTCTGTTTACTGAATTTCACTCACAAGGCTTGGGTCAACTCGTGGTATGGATTTCAGACACTTCCTAATGGTTCTGCACACTGGGAACATTTTTCCAGGTCAATAACATCGAAAAGTCACTTTCCTGACAAACTGACCATGTTAAGATTTGAAGCCAGGTTTCATGATCGGAAAGTAAACATTCTAACCACTCAGCCATACACCCAGTATGATTTATGATTATAAGGGGTTGAAATTCAAGTAAATCTTTGAGAAATATTTCTTTCTTCCATGGATATCATAACAATTCTATGACTGAATGAATGGCTATTTGTGATATTTCAGCTATTCTTTTTGTTACAGAGTTTTAAAAATAATTGTAACTGAAGATCAAATATCAGATATATATTTTAAAAATCAAACTGTATAATATCAATGTGTATTTATATATTTCTCATCTCATCTGTAGTGGGAAGGAATGTAAATTAGCTTATGGTAGTAAATTTATGAGTGATTACTTAGTCATTTTAATAATCTATGCAAATAAAATATCTGCATTTAGACAAAATTAGTTCTTGAGCAAAATGAACCGTCTAATTAATCGCTCCGTTTAATTCTATTTCTCTTGGATTGCAGTCTTATTTATTCAAGGCTTTCATGTGAGACACTCAGATACTGTTGTCTATTAAATGATCATCTTGCTTTAACTTGGTCTTGAAAAAGGCTTTGTCGTTATAAAATTTTTCACAAGAAAAGAAATTTATATAATACCAGGAGTAATCAATGAATCATAGATCTCATTGAATGCCTAAAAAATATAAAAGGAACAGATTAATCAAATGGTTCATTGGCCTCTATTTTAGTTATGAATTATCTGCTTTATTGAATCTCAATACATTGTTTCAAGACTTTTGTTTCATTGCATCTCACTATTAAAAGTTCCCAACAATTGTCGTTATTTTTGTCAGCATGGGTATACTAGTGTGTGCGTGTGTGTATATATATATATATATATATATATATATAAGCAATGAATCATTCATACAAAAAGTAAATTAGTAAAGTTAATGACATAAAATGACGAAATCCCTTTGCTAACAAAATTTTAAAGATGCATTAACCTACTAATCACTCGAATGTTATGACTATGACACTTGTTTTTTAAAATTATAAGCTGTATAAGGTCTTTCTTAAATACAATTTTATTTTTTAATTTAAGTGAGTGCATTTTTTACTAATATGGCATTTTGAGAATTTTTTGTTGTAGAAGTCTATCAATGTGGCATGAACTAAATAGTTCAGTAAGTAGAGTAATGTCTCAGTTGTTATCCCGAAAATTTGCATGTCAGATCAGTTCTTTTAAATCAAATATAATGCGAATTGAAATATTAATATTTTCAAAAAAAAAATTCAACCTTAGCGTTGCGACTGCACACTCCAAAAGTTTGTATCTGTTATCAATAACACATTTCACAAAAAACATTTCAATTCACATTATACTTTTTTGTCTCGGATGCTACCTGAATTTTACCAAAAACAAAATAATTTCCATACCTTTGAGATATATATATATATATATATAAGTTTGTGACCCTGGGTTTCATGCTTTTGCAATCATCAGATAATATATATATATACATATTTCTTATTTAAATCTAATATTTAGTGGATACACATGTCTGATTAAACATCCTTTTTTTTTTTTTAAAACAGTATAAATATGTTTACCAACCTCTATATTCAAGAGTTAAGACTCTCCAATGCACAGGGTTCAAACATATGCCCCCTTGTAGGAGAAATTGCCTTTAAGCTTAGTGTGTTTTTAGACTGCTCAGCCAATGAAAACTTACAGAATCAAGCAAAGTTTAATTACCTTATTTAAGAAATGTATATCTATTGTTCATATCTGAAGTCCATGTCTGCTAACTCTTATGTTAATATCCAAAATATATATAAAGTAAATTCTAAGGAATTAATTAATTTTGTTTATAATCCAACATAATTTCTTATTACTTAAATGTTTTATTTAGTGAATACATGTATTTGACTAGACATCTTCATTTTTGTTTTTATGTTTTAACAGTGTAAATATATGTCTACCAGCTGGTGCCTTTTAGTGTCTTAAAGAAATTATGCTTTCCAGCAGGTTTTGAACCTGTATTCTATTGTCGGGAGAAATCGTCATTAAGCCTGTCATGTTTATCACTGTTATTTTGTTATTTCAAACATTGGAAATTTTTATTTTTTTACAAGACATAATTATTTTGTACCTGTTGGCTTAATTGATATTATACAGAGTGTTTCAAAAGTCTGTCACATTCTAAGAACTCTTATATCATGAACTACAAATGGTAACATGATTAAACTGGGACCATTTAAAAGCTAAAAGTGTCAAGTTTTCTTCTATTAATTTAATATTATTTTTTGTCTCTTTACAGTGTCATAATGTGACACACTTTTGAAACACCCTCTATGTGTGTGTGTGTGTGTGTATATATATATATATATATTTATTTTGTGAATATTGTTATATTTGTCTCTTCATATCGAAAGTTCTTAATAAATTATTTAAGAACTTTCAGTCTGAAGAGATGAATATAAAAATATTCACAAAATAAATTATAACAAAAATGGGTCTTTAAGGTTTTTTTTTTATTTATATATATATATATATATATATATATATATATATATATATATATATATATGTGTTTGTTTATTTAACAACCTTCTTGTTTTTCGGGACAAAATCTGGCAAATTATGGATGATTGCTCTGTGCATTTAGAGATTATTTTTAGAAGTTGTAAATATTTAGAGAAAAATGAAATAAAATAAAAACATTTTCATGATTCTTATTTCACATACTTTTATATTATGAAAAAATGCAATGTTAGTTGGAAAAAAATCAATCTGGTTAGGATTTAATGGAGATAATTAACAAAATTTATCTGATAAAGCGTTAAGAATTTATATCAATTAGTAAATTAGTAAACCAATATTTAAGACTAATTTTATTTTTTTGTATATTATTAAAATATGTTTTGTTAAATTTTAAAAATACAGTATAGAATTTCTTTCAACTGCTTGTATATAAATAAGTAATGTTATGCATTATTTTATCAACATATACCTGATCAAAATTCATTATAATAATCTTTACTTTAAATATTTTATTTTTCTCAGACTGTGACTACTTGACTTGTGGCAGGTGTTTGCGAGAGTTTCCACTGCAGAATATAACCAACTTCATTCATCACAAGAAAAATGATTGTGACCCTGACAATGATGACCAGAATAAAAACACTGGTAATAAAAAAACAAAAACTTCATGCATCAAACACTGTGACAACTTTATACAAAACTATTTTGGCAATGTTTAACGTATATAACCCGCAAAAAAATGGTTTTGTCAAAAAGACGGTTTTTCTCTTGACACCACTTTTATTATTTACTCCTTCAGTAATTTTTATTGTTTTAAAAAGCTATTTTTAGAATTTTAAAAAACCAAAACATATAAAACCGGATTTATACATTCTCTTTTTATCTCACAAATTGACAAGAATTAAACCTGTTTTATTTTATTAGATTATTTACAACAATAATTTTATATTTACAAGTTTATGAAAATATGTAAACCAATGCAATATTTATAAAGAAATTATAATGGAAGAATTTTTTTTATTCATAAATTTATAAGAATGTTTGTGAGCATGCTAACAAGAAAATTTCTATAAACACATAATGACTAATAACTAAAATTTACATTTTCCAGGCATTTCTTTCATTTGCTCTTGCCACATACATTCACTGTAATAGGTTGGAGCATCTGAGTTTATACTTTTTTTTTCTTGAGAATTAACAAAAAAATATATTAAACACTATTAGTCTGTTTATTTATAAGAATAATGTTTAATTCTTTCAGCGTTTCCCCTCAGTACATAATTATAACCAGGGTCAGTGTGTACAACCAGAAGGTGGCAAGCTTGATTGTGGTACCCTGGGTAGTGCTTTGTTACCCTTGCTGTCTTATCAACATTTGCTTTTTTTCTACCTATGTTTATATATGTTACAACTTAAAATAAGCATGACTATTAAAGAATGAAAAAATTTTGCAGATTTTGACCTCATTCTGTGTTTTTTTTTGTTTTTTTTTTTTTGTCTCAATCCTTGAATTTGTTTTGCTCATGCTAAGTCTTGAAAAACACAATATAAAATTCACTATTTTTTATCAATAATGTTGAATGTGTTTAGATTATTTAGCTTCTTAACAAGAGAAATCTCAAGTTGATGTTAAAAATTGCCACAAAACATTGTTGATTTATTTAAGATAGAATGATCTATATGACATGTCTCTAATTTGCATTTAGATACATTGTATTTATTTTCAATTTTTCTACCCTATGAAAATTGAGATGTAGTAGAATGAGGAGAGGGCTGTATCAGATTGGGAGGGGGCATATCAGATTAGGTGGGGTATGAGGCAGTTGCATCAGTCCTGTTTATAACCAACACTCCTGTTTGTCTCCCACTCCTACACATATTTAATTTCATCCATAAAAACATTACTTTAGTCTGATGAAATCTTTCTCAAGGACTAAATGTGTTACACAGAATTTTTCAGCTTTATCATTCAATTGCCTAATGATTAGAGTGAATGAAAGTTTTAATGTATTTAATAATTCCTACCCATAATATGAGTTATTAATTACATTAAAACTTTTGCTTGCTCTAATCAGGGAGTGGCAATCCTGATTGTGGTCTCTGGGCAGTGTTTTGTTATCCTCACTAACTTATCAACATTTGCTTTTTTTCTACTTACATTTATATACATTAAAAATTGAAATCAGAACAACTATCTATTAAAGGATGAAAAATTTTTGTGGATTTCAACATCATTATTTTTTTTTTTTTGTTAAATCTGTGAATTTGTTCATGCTAAGTCCTGAAAAATCTCTATATAAAATTCACAATTTTTTATCCATGATATTGAATGTGTTTAGATTATTTAGCTTCTTAACAAGAGAAATCTCAAGTTAATGTTAAAAATTGCCACAAAACATTGTTGATTTAAGATGAGATTATTTATTATGACATCTTTCTAATTTCTATTTAGATACATTGTATTTACATAGTAACCATAATGCTCACAAAATAATTCTTTTAATATCTACTTTGAGCTGTTGAAATTAAAAATGGAGCTATGCTTGAGTCAAGATTAAGTATTACAGTACAAACATTTTATTTACAATCTTAATTTTGTTCTTTTAAATCTTATACAGATACTCTTGGTCGACAACTGTATTGTTCCTCTTGTACAAAGGCCTTCTTATCTGCTTGGGACATGTTGCAGCATGCACAGTTTACACATAATTTTAAGATCTTCTTTGATGCTAACCGACAGGCTCGTCTGGAGACAGGTACAATACCAGCCACTACATCTACATCTGCAGAAGACCAAAACTCGTTTGTTAAAGAGACTCCTAAAGTTACCCCTACAATTGAACCTACCCTGTTTCCGTTGAAGCAAGAAGTTTCAGAACCAACTAGTCCTTTGAGTTCCACTGATAAACAAGAGCCTGCCACAGTTACAGCTCAGGAGATGCAGTGCTGCAGTTCTGTTGTCCCCAAAAAGCGTAAACAGCACATGGAAGTATCACATGCATCTACAGATGGAAGTCTGCGTGACCGAATAATCCGGCGAAATGAAGCAGGCCTGAGAATTGGTCGGAAAAGGTCGTTTAGTGGAAGCCAGTACTATTTAAATCGGAGCCCACACACTTTCGGAAAATATTCGCAGATGCGAAGTTCAATTGGACAGAATCGACTGCAATATGGACAAAGCCGGATCCACTCTTCTTCAGCAACCAGAAAATATCCAAGCACCATCTACATTGATGTTGAACATGAAAACCAGGTTCCTGATTCCTTAAATGGCAATCAGGAAAATGGTAAGCTCCCTTACCACCAAGAGATTTACTTAGATGAGAATCAAGTCAAAGAAGATGACAGGGAAGAACTTGAAAGTCAGAATATCATTGGCAACAGTGGTTCTTTTATTCTTCAGCCTGGCACTGTGTTTTCCATTCCATTCTCCTACCCTGTCCTCAGTGAAACAACTTCTGCTTCTAGTGCCTCTAACCCTGCTGTCTACACTACCTGTTCTACTAGTACATATCCCTCAGACCAATGCAAATCATCATCATCATCGTCGTCATCAAGTGAGGGGAATGCAACCACATCTCAAATACAGGGGTCAAACATTGAAGAGTTGAGCCCATCCTCTAACAACACAAAATCATTTGTGACCTCTCAGCTGATTGAAAATTCCTCAATTTCAAATAGCCAGATACCTCGATCGGACACTGTGCTCAATCAGGGGCCACTCTCCCTGAATCGTTTAAGCTCGGGCCTTACAAGATCAGCCAAGATGGGCAGCAGCAGTTTGCAACGGTCAAAGGAGAACCAGTTGAGCTTAGAGCAGCAGGCCCGTAAGCGCAAATATCCCACATCGCGGCCTTTTAAATGTGACCAATGTGACCATGCCTTTAATCAAAGAATTCATCTCAAGAAACATCTCAGTAAGCACACAGGTAAGAAAAATAATATCTTGAGTATACTCAATAAAATTTTATCTTTTTGTTTTTGATCTGAATACACAAGCATTGTACCTGTCAAAAATGATGGATTTTTTATATATGGATTGGTATTTCTGACTAGGATCAGAATGTAGTACCTGCACACTCTGCCTAAGATCAAAGTATAGTATCTATTTGCTCTATGATAACTGTTACAAAATATATATGCAATTTTTCATAAGTAACTTAGAATTTCAACCAGCACTCAGGTTGCTTAGGAAACTTATACTTAACATCAGGAAGAAGCAGTTGAAATTTCTGAGCATGTAATGAGGAAGGAGAGCTTGGAAAATCTGATACTCACAGGACAGACTGAAGGAAAGAGGGACAGAGGAAAGCTGTGTGTAATATACTTGATAGGCTTGAGTAAATGGATGGTAGAACTGGGTTTGGGAGAAATAACAAAGACAAAAATTATTAAGAGCTACAAGGGGCAGGAAGATGTGGTGGACCATGATCACCTACACCCTGAAAGGGGATGGCACATAAAAGAAGCAGCAGCCAGATTAATGTCAGTAGAAGACTTGCTTTAGATTTAGTTAAATTTTGGTGCATTTGCTTATAAGCAAAAGTGTGTATATTAATTCACATGGCATTTTATATGTTTGCTTTTTCAATATTTGAAAATGCATTTGGCAATTTCCATGGTGGCTGATTAAAATAAATATGTAAATAAAAAGAAATGTGTGTTAAATTTTGTTTTCCTTTTGGAAAAACTTTTGCTGATATTTTTAAAGTAAAACACCTAATTTAGTCATTCATCAAACATAGTGAAATGTTGTTTGAAAGCTGACCCTTCTCTGACCCATCTTCAACAAGCAAAAATGATGAAAATCTTGAAACATTTGCCACACAATCAATAAAGACCATAGTTGGGTATTTGATGAGATACCTGATCTGCCTGGTTTTTCTTGAAGTTCATGTCGGTAAATGTTAACAAATTTGAAAATAAAACATTTCTGCAAAGTTTGTATTGCTCACAGAAGATAAAAAAAAAGTTTTGAAGTTCGTTACCAGGGAAGAGTTAGTTATTTATGGGTACCTCCTCATATCATAGGTGTTGAAATGACAGTTTCGTTCAGATTATATTTCACCATTAACCTTTGGAGCTTGTGATCAGATTTCAAGTCTGACATTGAACATTAAGACCATTTCATGTTGAAGTTTTTGAAAAAGCACATAGGTTAAAACTCTCACTTTTATAAGTCAAAATATAAGTATACATCCAGGAAAATAATTTTTATTTGTTTTATTTTATATTTTTTTAAACCCAATTGAGAAATATTGTCTTATGAAGAAAACAATAGCAAACTATTTTATGTATTCTTAAGGAGAAGGCTTACAGCTACATCACATTAAAATGCCAATCCCCATATAATCACTGAAGGTAAGCAACATCGAGTCTGGTCAGTACCTAGATGGGTGACTGCTTAGAAATACCAAATGCTGTAAACTTAGCTGTGTGGGTGGGGTAATGGATAATGTCTTGGAATAGTTAACCAGAGAACCAAGTTCCAATTCCCATTGGGTTCGTTATATTCACTTATGCGCAAAATACTTTTGGGAAAGATATGACAGCATCTCTTCTCCTCCCAGCTATGGGTTAATTAGTAAAACTTCTATCACTAAATCATTATCCCCAAAAAAAAAAATTCTTACAATCCAAAAATATTTTCTGGCTTTAGATTTAGTCAAATTTGGGTACTTTTGCTTATAAGCATAATTGTGTATATTGATTCACATGTCATTTTATATTTATATACATAGATTCTTTAAAACAAGCATTTTCTTTTCTGATTTTTGAAAACATATTTAGCAATTTATAATAAATACATAAATAAAAAAACGTGTGTTAAGTTTTATTTTCCTTTTGGGTTGATAATTCATAGAAAATGAATCAATCAATGTTAAGGAGAAGAGAATAAAATCTTTAATTGTAAATGAGAAGGATTTCCATCATTGCAGTTTTATGGTTTAAATGTAAATGAGAGAAATTTCTACCACAGTTAATGGAATCATGTAATAGATCCTATAATGGGCCTGATAGATGATGATGATGGGATGCATATTATATTTTCATTTATTACATATTTATGTGATATATCAATTATTTATTTTTTATAATCAGATGAACTATTAAATTATATCTTTTATTCCTGTTTTATTTTTTAAACCCTATTTTTATTGAAAGGTTCTGAAATTGGCTTTTTTCTGTCATTTACAGAATGCATAGGTTAGACAAAAATAGTAAAATGATAATTGTAGTGAATGTAATTCCAGATTCTATGGTTACTAGTTTTTGTCTGAGTAGTTTGAACCTTGTTGGCATGGAATCCTGAAAGTGATGGATCATCTTTGTCTAAATGTTGATATAAAATTGGAAAACACACAAAATCAGGCAGTACAGTTGCAACAGTAGAAAAGTCAGGAGCTCTGATGTTTGTTTGAACCTTCTGCTCTCATATTTCAGCAAATGGGCAAATGGTGAACACCCAAACAAAAACAGAACACTATAAAAGTATAACAATACATATTTATAGTAAAAGTACCAACAATACATTTTTATATGAAAAAAATGACTAAAAAATATATATTTATAGTAAAATGATCAGCAATACATTTTATTGTAGAATTACCAACAATACATTTTATCTGTAGTTGAAGATATACAATTGTGTTCAAAATATATTTAGATGAAGCCATAAAATTGTTATGGTGAAACACACCTATTCTATAGTTAATAGACTCTCCCACCTAATATAAGTAGGAGTAGTAAGAGAATCGAGAGTCAGTCGATGTCGGATGACAGTAGTTGAAAGTAGTCAGCAACCACAATAAGATTACTCTGTGTAATACCTATTATATCAAGTTCCTAATGTTTTGTACATCAAACTATTTAGGACCGATTTAGTATAAATACAAGCCTCCACTGCGAAATAACTCCGCAACAACTTTGGCGATGAGGATTCGAACTCATATGGTGGAAGAAAAAAATTCACTCGCCACAATAACTTTGGCGACAAGGATTCACACTCATTCGGAGGAAGAAAAAATTCGCTCGCCACAATAACTTCGGCGACAAAGTCTTGGATTCACACTAAAAAAAAAAAAAACTTGGCAAAGTTTCTCGCAAGCCAAGACGTCAACTTAGTGATGAAAAAATCTGTTGTATTCTCAACTGAGAAAAGAAATATTTTTTTTTCTCCCCGATAATACAGTTTGCTCAATTAGATCATGAATTGCAAATTCGTAGGACCCCCCTCTAGGAATGCAAAAGTATATTCCGAGAATTCTTTAAGTTACAGTCAGAACAACAGATGACAATATTAGAGCAACAAAAAACATTCCAGATGCAGCTACAGGAGGAAACTTTCAAAAGACAATGCAATTCCAACAAAAAATGGAACAGATGCATAGGGAGTTTCAAAACAAAATTCAGAAAATAACTGAAAGAGAAAAATCTACAAAATTATTCTTTCCCAGAGAATACAACATGGAATTCAATTGAAATATTCATGTACAGTCCAGATGAAGAGATAACTTTTGAGGAGTATTATAAAAAATATACGGACGTGTATAACGAGGACTGCCACTCGTGGTCTGAAGGAAAGAAGGTTAAGCTTCTTTTAAGCAAATTAGGAACTGCTGAGCATAACAAATTGGTAAACTACATTTTACCGAAAAGAACTAGCGAGTTAACATTTACCGAGGCAGTAAATATATTAAGTGAATTATTTAGTAAAAAGACATCTCTGTTTCACAAGAGGTGGAAATGTTTGAATCTGATGAAAGATGACGATCAAGACTATATAACGTACACAGCCAATGTGAATAAGCATTGTGAAGAATTCAAGCTGGCAGATTTAAGCGCAGACAGTTTTAAGTGCTTAGTGTTTGTTCAGGAGCTGGTATCGGAAAGAGACGCTGAGTTGAGAAAATTAGTACTGGCAAAATTGGAAAGCGATCCAAGTATTATGGTACAGAAATTGGCAGAAGACTGCACAAGATATATTAGCATAAAGAAAGATTCAAAAAAGATAGAACAGTCTGGCATTTTGCATGTAAAGAAAATATGCTACAAAGAAGAAAGTCTACCAAAAAGAATTCTAAAATTGAAGATTATCAAGCAAAAAGTGAAATACCAGAGAAAAATAAACAAAAACTCCCGAAGCCATGTTTTTGTGGTGAACTTCACTGGTACAGATATTGCAATTTTAGGAATAAAAATGTTTCAACTGTAAAAGAGTGGGTCATAAAAGCTTGCACTGCAGGTCAAAAAATAAAGACTTTAAAATAAGAAAATTAAAGTCTGACGAGGTGAACGATGGAATAACCAGAAAATTTGTTACCGTCGAAATAAGTAATAAAAATATAAAAATGCAACTTGACACTGGTTCCGACCTATCTATTATAAATTTGCATATGTGGAAGAAGTTGGGGAAACCAACTTTAATGAAAACAAATAAAATCATGAGGTCAGTGACGGGAGAAAAAATACAATTTATTGGGGAATTTCTTACGAACATCACGTTAAATAAAAAAACACGAAAAGCTAAACTATTTGTCATAGAAAATACCACAAACTTACTTGGTACGAACTGGATAACAGAATTCCAATTATGGGATCTACCGATAAATTCCTTCTGTTACAAGGTAGAAAGTTTAAACACCGAACCCCAAAAATTAATAAAGAATCTTAAGGAAACATTTCCTACTGTTTTTTCTCCAGGGTTGGGAACGTGTACCAAGATGGAGGCAAAATTCCAGCTAAAAGAAAATGCTCAGGCGGTATTCAAAAAAAAAAGGAATGTGCCGTTTGCCTCAATTGAACAGATAGATAAAGAATTGGACAGATTAGAGAAAACCGGTGTACTTAAAATAGTTGAGTATAGTGAATGGGCAACACCGACGGTATATGTGGAAAAAAAAAAAGCCCCAGAAAGTAAAGATGAAGCCGACACCGAGAAAAACTGGGGAGCGAGTTACCCGCAGCCAAGGACATGCAGTATTATTAAATGATTTAAGTCAACTGAAGTCATCACAGAAAACGTTAAGAAGCACAAGATCAACAAAAGGGAAGCTAGACGCTGAATAAATAGAACCACAAGAAGAACCTACAGAAACTGTGACTCCATCCTTAAGAAGCTCAAAGTGGAAGGTTGTTTCTGGTAACACTATGGAGGTACCAAAAAATAGAAAAGCGAATTGGCAATATGATGTACTTGGTGAAAGGCGAAAAATTCACGTGCAGATGGCACATTAACCAGATCAGACTACGCTCTTCAGACGTGGTTGACAGTGGTCCCGTGGAAGAAACGCCAATGGAGGTGATTTTCGATATGTTTGATCTAACAACGTCTGCAACGATTTTACCTGAGGTACGCCGATCCAGGAGAAAAAGAAAGTCAACTGATCATTTAAAAGTGGATCCAAAACGTAAATGTTGCTAAAAAAATGAATTTTTTTTTGTTTTTTCTTCATTTCCTGTAAAAAATAAAGAAAACTGTTTTACTCCTATGGAGTAAAGTTTTAGGAGGTGGGTGTTATGATGAAACACACCTATTCTATAGTTAATAGACTCTCCCACCTAATATAAGTAGGAGTAGTAAGAGAAACGAAAGTAGTCAGCAACCACAATAAGATTACTCTGCGTAATACCTATTATATCAAGTTCCTAACATTTTGTATGTCAAACAATTTAGGACCAATTTAGTACAAATACAAGCCTCCACTGCAAAATAACTCCACAACAAAAATTGAGTTCAAAATATTTAGATTTCGGCATTAAATAACCCATAGAGGTTGATATGCTGCTAAACAAAATAAACTAACTAAACAATGTAAAAGAATTCTTTGATGACATTAATCTATATAATTTGCTACAATTTCTTAAAGAAATCAAACTGTATTCCAAAATATAACTTCAACAAAACTACAACAAAAAACACATATCAGCACCTCTACTAAATATGTCCACACAAACATGTATATGCACAAAAGCTGAGTATCATCTACCATGTATTCAATTGTGAAAGTTGAATAATATATATCATATTTTTATTACTTCAAAGCTTCCAAAAAATAAATTTCAGCATTAAGTGACCCATAAAGAGTTGACATGCCATTAAACAAATTCGATCAATCAAAAATCCAATATTCCAGCAAGGAGATACGTCACACATGTGGAGAGTATAGTAGCTGGCCAAACTGTTGGTATCCATTTTCTCATTCTCTCTCTCTCTCTTGCTTCCTCCAAGAAACAATTTCTACCATATCCTAAAATAAAGCAAGGAAAAACAAACCCAAGGAAAATTCTGTTGTTGATTGATTGTTTATGCAGTGTTGCAGTTTCTACTGAGAAATTGTTGATTGACCACCAAAATCCAGAGACAACACAAAACACAGCACATCCTACTGGTATGTTAAACATTAAGGTATCTATTTAGCCATGTTTAGCTAAATTGAGCTAGTGGTCAGTAGAGGATTTCTTAAACTGGTTGCAACACCTCAGTTCTCAATGTAATTGTTGCAAAAAATGTATTTTGTTAATTACTTTAGGATATTATTTAAATATTAATAGAATCAGCTACAGAAAACCAGATGCTATCAAAGATGTAATTTCCAAACATCAAAGTTTTTTTTCAACACTTTCTACCGCAACATAAATCCAGATGCTTTTGATTCTCCTGTTTGAGGGAGACTAGATCTAATTGAAGCTAAGATATAGTCAAAGATATTGGGGACCAATTTGTATTAGTTTAGTCTCCATTATGTCCCATAGAGTATCTCTAGTTGATATGAGTTTCTCTCTTTTTTTTTTTCTTATGGATTTGTGTGGTGATGGTGGTTGGGAGGGGGAGAGAACATCTATTTTCCTTCATAATTCACGTGGATTCTAAATGTTGCAGGGTGTGGTGGCGAATGTGTTAAGCACATGTCTGTCCTTATAAGTGTACCTCACTAGTTTGTTTTATTTTTAAAGTCTAAATGAAGGACATTCTTTAACTTTTATTTAAAAAAAAAATCAAAACCTATCTTCATTTGTAATAATTTAATTGTTTAATCTCAGTTTATTCTTTTTTTTTTTTAACCAGGTGTAAAGCCATTTAAGTGTGGTCAGTGTGATTATTCTACTGTTGAACGTAGCCACCTTAAGGTCCATATTCGGATTCACACAGGTATGTTATTTCCTCTATTTCAAATAAGATAAATATATATATTATTTTTTTAAATTGCATTTATTATGGAAATAATATATTAGGTTGTTCAGTAAGTAACATTACATTTGAAATTTGTTCTGAACCTACCACTTTGAGAAAAAAATAAAAGACAACGTTGTCTCTAGTTTTGGCAGATTGCATGACACACATAATATAAGCCAACCCATCCACCACAAGTGACCCAGGCTGCTGAGGAATAAGTGATTTTATTGAGTCATGAACTCTAGCTAGATTGTCAGCCAAATCTTGGAGAGCTTCTATATGCCCATTAACACACCATCCTGTTTAGAATTCAGAGTTGTCCTTGTAGACAAGTTGATAACCAAGGTTAAAGTGATTTGCTGTTTAACCCATAGCTGGGAGGAGAAGAGATAGATTCATACCTTTCTCAAAGATATTTGTGCAAAAGTTAACGTAACTTGGACTTGACTCACCAATTTCTCTTTTCGAGCCACTAACAGTTACACCACTTGCACATCCTCTACTTTGAAATCAATGTTAAATAGTAAATACTGAGTTCTTGAGTTAGTTTAATGTTTTATCAAGGTATGTGCTGTTTATAGCTTACCACTCACTCACGTTCTTCTGGCTCCACTGAAGCATATGGCTCCAAAGCTGAAGAGCCCAATCTATCCTACTAATTAGCCCATAGCTAGAGGTAGAAGGGATGGCATTCCCAATAGATTGCTTTGCCACACCTGGTCTGGTGTTCCTGCTATATATTTAGAGATTTTTGATAAAATCCAAAGAATATGTCATGTTATTGGTTTTGACCTGACTTCTCAGCTTCAGTCTTTTTCCCACCACTGTAACAAAGCTTCTCTGTGCCTTTTCTATAAATATTTTCATGGTAATTCTTCTGAACTTTCCTCTATGGTATCTAGACTTGACGGATTTAAGCGTACTACTAAATTGGCAGCAAGATCTTATCATTTTACATTTGAAATGGCTAGATGTAACCATAAGCTCTATGCTAACAGTTTCTTCTATTGAATTTCTTGCTTGTGGAACTCTATTCTGGTTTCTTGCTTCCCAGTCAATTTTTTGTTTTTTTTACATGTAATTTAATTTTTTATTTGAATTTATTTTCATTTGCTTTTTTTTTTTTTACATGTAATTTGTTTTTTTGATTTGAATTTATTTTCAGTATCTGTCTATACTTCTGAGATGTGGTATTATGTACACTATTTACATTATTCAGACTATTGTCCTCAGCTTTGTCGCCATATTTCTTACACTGTTTCGGCACATGGTACAGTGGATATAGGCATTAGTTAGATCCAGTGACAGGACCCAAAGAGTATGAGTTCAATACCTGGTTAAGGCAATGGAGAACTTGGAGAGAGGAATTAACAGGAGATAACTGACAACTGACATCCATTAAAATGTGGAACTTGAACAGTCTACCCCAGTGAGTGAAATAAAGGGTTCAGTTTGACATTCCAGCCACCTGAAGAAGGCCAGAGCGCACAACGGTCGAAACATAATAAATATGGCGACAAGGATGAGGACAATAGTCCAAATAATGTAAATAGTGAATTTATTTTCATTTGTGTTTTTTGTTCTCAATATATCTGCTATTTCTTTACATTTAATAAAACCTAGAATTTTGCTTTGGTTTGCCCTTTTTTTTGATATTTTTTTTTCCCTGTGAAATACAATAAAAACAAAATTTACCAAAAGTGAAATTAAGAAAACTTTGAAACAGAAACTTAGTCCCCCTTTTGAAATTTGCCCTTCATCTTCATTTTGTCTTCTGCATACTGCAGTGACTAACACCTGCATTCCAATAAAGCTGTTCAGTTTCTGGTGAATTTTCAGTGTTCTATTTGCCAACATACAGGTGAAAAAACATTGAAAGTTTTAAGATAACTAGAATTTTTTGCAACAAATCTTTTGTGTGCTGAAATCCTCACAGTATTTAGTATTGCTGAAGTTATTGCTAACATTTTTTGAGATTTACAAAATCTACGTTTCATTCAATTTCATAAACCAATCAATGAAATTTAAATAAGTTGATTTGATTGGAAAAATATTTTGACAAAAACCCTACTTAAGTTTAATAATTCCTTTATAAGACTCATGATAAACAATATATTTAAGAAAATTTCTTTTTTTCCTTTTTAACAGAGAAGAATAAGTTCTTAAGATTTTTTTACTTTTGAGCATACAACATACAACTGGCAATGCATAAATATTTATTTCTGGAGCCAAATTCCAACTTTTTGAAGCATTTGGCTTTGTGATTTGTTTATAGTTCTCACAAACGCAGGGTAAACTTGGAAACTGGATTCTTGTATATAAAAACTTAAAGAAAAGATATATAAAAAAAACAATATTGCATTTTTATTAAATTTACAGTTTGTAAATATGTAAGCTTTGTTTACAGTGGTGGAAAAATTTGTTATTTTAATCATTAAATTGTTTTTAAAATAATGGTAGTATTTTGTATGTTAAATAATAAAACTTATTTTTTTCCAAAAATTTAATGAAATTTATTGTACTAAGCTACACACCCTAGTAAAATCAACTGTACTTTGTACCCCCTTATCTTTTTGCACTTCTCCCCAAAATTTGCTTCCAATCAGTCAATACATGTCTATTTTAGATGGTGTGATGGACAGAGTAATGGAAATTACAGAATTTTATATATAGCTGCTGTTTTGACCATAAAGGATACTTCTTTTGATTGATAATTATGATTATGAGATTTTCATAAATTTAATATTTTTAAGAGGTACCTTCATTTATGACTGAATATTTCCACAACAATCCTTTTTAAGTTTTTTCTTTGAATGATCAGTTAGATTATTTAAGTAATTTTTTCTTTTTACAGGTGAAAAACCTTTCAAGTGCACATTTTGTGAGTATGCCACAGCCCAGAACAGTACGCTCAAGATTCATTTGAAACGCCACCATGGTAGCCTCATGTATAGCTGTCAGAGTTGTGGCAAGCAGTTTGCTGGAAAAGACCCATACATGGATCATCTAGCAGTACATGGACCATTGAATCTGCGGAATTCTTCAGTGGCTCTGAACAAACTTGAGCCAAGCAGACCTCAGGTAGATAAAAATGACACCAGCAATAATACGTAGCCAGGTGGGCTGCTCAAGGAATGAGTGTACTGGATTGGGAAGCTGGCCAACAAAGCACCCACCCACCAATGTTTAACTGGAAATTTTTATTGTTGATTATTATGGATATTTCAGGGATTTTCATTCAAATTCTCTCAGGGGTATTTTATGATTTTTTTTTCCCTCAAAATTCAACAAAATGTCTACCTTTCTATTTTGAACAGTTCATACCTGAACAAAATTAATTTACTATTATTACTAAGAATCTTATATAGAGTTATATTCTATGAAAGTAAAGTTTGTTTTTGTTTTGTTTTTTTTTTAAATCTATGAAATTTAAATTCATTTTTTTTTTTTTTTAAGGAGACATAAAATTGAAATCTAAATTATCTTCTATTTTTCCTGTGAATATTCCTCTCTCTCACTTTCTCTCCTATTCTTCAATTGTTCTTTTTTATCATTCCTTCCATATTTCTTCTCTTGAATTTTCTCTCTGCCTTCTCTTCTATTACTCTTTCAAATCCCTTTTCTTTTTCTTTCTATTTTGTATCTCTCTCTCTACAGCATCTTCTTATCTATGCTTTATTTCCATTTTTTTTCTTGCTTTCAATACATATTTTTCCATTGCTCCCATTTTTTTTGTCTTGTTTTTATTAATACTATTTTGTCCACTACTTTTTTTCTTATCTTGCCATATTTAACATATATATTTGGGCCCATTTTTAAGACATTAAGAGCCAAAAAAAATGAAGAAAAGTAAAATGACAGCATTGACAGGTTGGTGCCTTTTCAGTTGCAATTAAATATTTCGATCCTGTTAACAAAACAGTTCAGCAAAATCTTTTTGGGGACAAATTGGGATTTTTTTTTTTTTATATCATAAAAAATAATAGATGGAAAATGTTTTTGCCAGATATATATAAAAAAGAAAGCTTGACTTTTCACCCAGCTGCACCTCATGACACATTTTAATCCCTAAATTCCCATGAATTATTTTCAGTACTGATGCTGGGAAAACAATTACATAACTCGTATTGCTCAACTTTTATGGGGTCCTTCTATAACAAGTAGAACTTAAATGAACTTTTTGGAAATTGTCACCAAAAAGAAAGAAATTTCACAATTTTTTTCCATATCTGAAAACCAGTTTATATGGATTTTTATTTAACAAATTCTTATTGCAATATTATATATATATATATATATATATATATATATATATATTACTTCACAAGGAATAAAAAGAAATATATGCAATTATCTTCAGGATATAAGTCAGTAGGCATGTGTCTGTGTCATTGTTTTTTTTTTTTAAAGATGGCCAGACTGATTTTTTAGTCCAGTTTTAACACAATTGTGTCCCAAAAACAAATATATTTTTTAAAAATACGATTTGGAAAAGTTTTGGTGCAATATTACAATTACTGTACCTGAGTTTATGGTCTCAATTTTATTGACTCACAGTTAAAGTAGTTTGGTTTTTCATTTCCTAAATTCTTTCTGGAAACTGTCTTGATTTTGTTCAGAACTGTTCGAATGTGTTGCTTAGAAGAATGATGTAAGCAACTAAAGTTTCAAAAATTGGTATGGTGAAAACATTTTTGAGAGCAAGAACTTTGAAGATAGTGTCTATTGTAAGCCAAAATTCAATATATAATTATATAAAATCAAGGAATTTACTTTAAGTTCACAGTATTTAGGATTAGACTCTTAGTCTGTTGGTGCAAAACCAACCCTGGCACTTTGCTTCTGTAAACCTTTGTTACATATTGAATGGTGATAGTTTTTTTTTGTTTTTGTTTTTAACTTGAATCTTAGAAAGTTTTGGTGCAATACTAAATATTATAATTATTATACCTGAATTTTTATCTTCTATGAGTTTATAGTTCAAATTTTATTGCATACATTTTAAGTTATTTGACTTTTCAAAAACTCATGTTGGGAGCTCAGTGCATTTAAGATTTTAATAATAATAACAATCTTGACCATAAACACAAATATGCATTCATTTTATGTCATAAAATAAACCAAAAAATTACAATGTTACTCAGGATATTAAATCTCAAATAGTTTTAAGCTGAAGTCAAAGGAATATATGTCAGTTTGTGTTTATAGCATAAGAATTCTAAACTTTGCATGATATGAATTGATTTGATATTTAAACAGTTTAAGCTAAATAATATAATTTTACTGTCATTTGCTATCTTATATACTTATTATGAAAAAGTTAGATATCAAAAACAAATGTTATTTTCATATAATGTTATTTCTCACCTTAGGCAAACAAGACAGAATAATTTGTTTTGAGTCTTGAAAGTAATTTAAGTAAATGGCAATGGTTTCAAGATAGTTTTTTTTTTATTTATTTAATGAAATTGTATATTTAAAAAAATTAACACAAAAATTGGTACTTTTTATTTTAAATAAAAGAAATTACTTTAAAATTTATCATGATGTTATTTCCTATTTGTTTTATATTATTGCAAGTATTTTTATGTTGTAATATTTTTGGCAAACTTAAACCTTCAAAAAAAGCGTGAAAAGGACATTTTTTTTCACTTGACGCTGCTATTATTTTAACTACTTTCACTCCTCGACAATGTTTATTATTTTAAAGTGTTGATTAGAATTGTAATAAAACCTAAATATGATGAAAGTGAATTTATACAGTTTTGTTTTTATTCTTCAAAATTTACAACAAAAATGTTAAACACTATTTATTAGATTGATTATTTGCAAGTATAATTTACACCATTCTAAAAACTAGCATTTGCATTAAAACTAATGCAATGAAATATTTATCATTTGCCAATTTATAAGGAAATAAATATAAAAACAAATTTTTTATTCATAAATTTATAACCATTTAATAAATTATTAAAATATGTGAACCAACGATAAGGAAATTCTTATTATTTACCATTTTATAAGGTTCAAATCAATTGGCATTTAGCCAATGTTTTTCAAACTATTCCAATAAATAATATAATAGTGTAAATAAACAATCAAATAAATAATATTTTTGTAAATTCTCATGAACAAACAAAAATTCACTTTCATAGGTTTAGGTTCTATTACAATTCTAATTAACACTTTTAAAACAATAAATATTGTTGAAGAAGTGAAGGTAATTAATGTCAAGGGAAAGACTATCCTTTTAGACACCTTTTCTTTTTTCTTTTTACAGGCATGAAGGTCTAAGTTTTCCACGTTTTTTTATCTTCTATATTTTAACACCAATAGTATTGCTTTTAAATTGAAAAGGATTACAGTTTGTAAGGAAAACAAAAATAGCATGGTAAATATTTCTTAAAACAGAAAGTGAAAATTATTTTTATTGTGATCTAAAAACCAAGCAATTTACTGGGTGACCATAATCCCCATGACTTATATTTGTAATATATACCAAAGTAACTTCAAGAATAAAATGCTTGTAATTAATATTCTTATCATGATTTTATTAATACTTCTATAAGTACGACTTTCATCAGCTTTCATTCAATGTTAACTCACTTCCCACTTTAAGAATTTATAATTATTTTCAACTACTATCATTAAATGTAATCATCATTATTAAAGTATCATCATTTGTATGCTAATATAACTTTAAATATGGTGTAGGCAAGAAACATGACTCTAGTTTGCAGTTAATAGATTTAGTTTTCTTCCTTATAAACTTCCCTTTTTTCCCTTGTTTTTTTTTTTTTTTTTTGTCAGTTTTACATAATTACACAGAATTTGGTGCACCAATTTGAAAAGAAATTGCTTTATTTTCTAAGCTAGAGACTGCATTTTAATTGTATTGTGCTATGATAGACTACATTTGCTCTGTTATGATAACAAACATACAAACATTTTGTTTATTTTGTGACTGATTAAACAGAATTTAGTAAACATATCAATTTATTGTTTGTCAGCCTTGCACATGGTCAAAAAGAGCAAGGCAAACACTTTGATGGACTTGGCTTTATGCCTAAGAAAATAGAGCAAGGCAAACACCTTGATGGACTCAGCTTTATGCCTAAATAGAGCATGGCAAACATCTTGATGAACTCAGCTTTATGCCTAAATAGAGCATGGCAAACATCTTGATGAACTCAGCTTTATGCCTAAATAGAGCATGGCAAACATCTTGATGGAGTCGGCTTTATGCCGAAGTAAATAGAGCAAGGCAAACATCTTGATGGAGTCGGCTTTATGCCGAAGTAAATAGAGCATGGCACACATCTTGATGGAGTCGGCTTTATGCCGAAGTAAATAGAGCATGGCAAACATCTTGATGGAGTCGGCTTTATGTCAAGTAAATAGAACATGGCAAACATCTTGATGGAGTCGACTTTTGCGTCAAGTAAAATAGAGCATGGCAAACATCTTGATGGAGTCAGCTTTATGCGAAATAAATAGAGCATGGCACACATCTTGATGGACTCAGCTTTATGCCTAAGTAAATAGAGCATGGCAAACATCTTGATGGACTCAGCTTTATGCCTAAGTAAATAGAGCATGGCAAACATCTTGATGGACTCAGCTTTATGCCTAAGTAAATAGAGCATGGCACACATCTTGATGGACTCAGCTTTATGCCTAAGTAAATAGAGCATGGCAAATATCTTGATGGAGTCGGCTTTATGCCGAAGTAAATAGAGCATGGCAAATATCTTTATGGACTCGGCTTTATGCCGAAGTAAATAGAGCATGGCACACATCTTGATGGAGCCGGCTTTATGCCGAAGTAAATAGAGCATGGCAAACATCTTGATGGAGTCGGCTTTATGCCGAAGTAAATAGAGCATGGCAAACATCTTGATGGAGTCGGCTTTATGCCGAAGTAAATAGAGCATGGCACACATCTTGATGGACTCAGCTTTATGCCTAAATAGAGCATGGCAAACATCTTGATGGACTCAGCTTTATGCCTAAGTAAATAGAGCATGGCACACATCTTGATGGACATGGCTTTATGCCTAAGTAAATAGAGCATGGCAAACATCTTGATGGACTCAGCCTTATGCCTAAATAAATAGAGCATGTCAAACATCTTGATGGACTCGGTTTTGTACCTAAATAGATAGAGCATGGCAAACATCTTGATGGACTCGTCTTAATGCATAAGTAAATAGACCATGGCAAACATCTTGATGGACTCAGCTTTATGCCTAAATAGAACATGGCAAACATCTTGATGGACTCAGCTTTGTACCTAAATAGGGCATGGCAAACATCTTGATGGACTCGGTTTTATGTCAAAGTAAATAGAGCCTGGCAAACATCTTGATGGACTCGGCTTTATGCCTAAGTGAATAGAGCATGGCAAACATCTTGATGGACTTGGATTTATGTCTAAATAAATATAGTATGGTAAACATCTTGATGAACTCAGCTTTATGCCTAAGTAAATAGAGCATGGCAAACATCTTGATGGACTCAGCTTTATGCCTAAATAGAGAATGGCAAACATCTTGATGGACTCTGCTTTATGCCTAAGTAAATAGAGCATGGCACACATCTTGATGGACTCTGCTTTATGCCTAAGTAAATAGAGCATGGCACACATCTTGATGGACTCTGCTTTATGCCTAAGTAAATAGAGCATGGCACACATCTTGATGGACTCGGCTTCATGCCTAAGTAAATAGAGCATGGCACACATCTGGATGGAATCGGCTTTATGCCTAAGTAAATAGAGCATGGCAAACATCTT